CGCCCTGCCGGGTCGGGAGCACAAGTCGCGGAGCCGCGCGTACCGCTGCGTGTCTGTGGGGAACCCAGGCCTCCACCTGGGCTGGAGCAGCGCGCAGAGGAACCAGCGGTCTGTTTCTGTTACGGTGGCACATCTGCAAAATAGCCTGTGTCCCCGTGTTGCAGCCGTAACCTGATGCGCGAGGATTGCTGCGCAAGTTTGGCTAAAACGGGTCCCCGTTTTTTTCTTCTTCGGCAAAGGACTGTGCTTTTGGCGCCAGCCCAGGAATTATTTGCAAAGCTAACATCACTTTTAAACCAAAATGTTTGCCGACATGAGCCAACACTGGAAAACTTAAGTATTTACTTCCATAGTTGAGTGAAAGGCTGAACTGTGCAACTCCTAGCAGCAGGTAGCTAGTCTTTATTTTGTATACTGGAGGAAGGAAGCAGATAAATTCAGCCAATGTGGGTTAGTCTTTTTTGTTTGGGTTTTGTTGATTTTTTTTTTTTAAATTCATATATGTACTTTGTTCATGTATTTGCAAGCAGCAATGGTAGGGAGGGCTAAACCAGAGAAGGTTAGTTGCGTGACCAGAACTACACCTGGAACCAAGGTGTTGCTTTTCTCTTCCTTTGCTTCTTAGCACCATATTCTTTTGTGAAATTCCAAATATCTTGATGTCTGTCATTCCTTGATGAATGGAGTTTGCTCCTGTGCCTGTCTTTTTTCTAAAGTATTGTCTTTTATGAATTCAGGTGTCGGATTACCATGGGTGTAAAGTAAGTGACCCGTACTGCTGGCTTGAAGATCCTGATAGCGAACAGACGAAGGTAACCTTTCTTTGTGCGGGAATGGATGTTTTAACATGGTACTCTGTTTTTGAAGGACATGCCAATACTGTTTGAAAACTTAAATAGTGGATGTAGGCGTAGTTCATGTGATACCTTATGGTGCCAACAGCAAGGCCGTGTTTTGTACCTTTGTGTTAATGGGGGAAAGACTGGAACACTTGGTATAACCTAGATCACAGGATTTGGAAAACTAAGGCCCTGTTTATCTTGCACCCATTTTTCTTAGATAATTCGAATGCTCGAGGTGGTGGTGTCGTCACACTGGAGTGAAACACTCTGATCATAAAACGCTTTATCCACTGTCCTAAGTACATTTAAAATCGCCATAATAAAATAGTTGAGAGGGTAGGAAGAAAACTCCTTTGGCTTGCTTTCTTCATACAGTGTCAAAGCGTGTGAACACTTTTATTTTTAATCCCCCTTTTTTTTTTTTAAATAAAACAATGTTTTCTTCCTGAAGTTAGGCTTTGTTAGTGGCTTTTATTACAGGTTGCAGATGTTGCAGTGTTTTCAGCGTGCAGTCTGGTATAGCTAGTATGTGCTGCTTGAACTGGTCTTTCGCTGAGAAAGAATCCTGAAAAATAAAGTCTGACTGTGAGCCAGTGCCTCTGATATTCATGGCATAGGGAGTTGCAGGGGCTGGAAAGTGGTAGGTGGCAGTGTGGAGGGGTTTTTCTCTGTAATGGGTAATAATTTTGTGATAACTGTAGTTCCAGATCTAAAACACTGGCATCTATCTAGTATGCAGGATTGTGTCAGAAAGATGATGGAGAGCAGGATCTCCATTTAAAAATATCCGACAGGGTGGCTTTCCATTAGTGAGACTCCTCCTAGGTTCTCTCAGGTATGTGCTTACATAATACACCTTGGTGAGCTAGAGAATTGTCGAACCAAACTTGCTGTAAGAGCAAGATAAAACGTGTACAGTTAGGATCCCATTCCCTACTTACAAATATATCAGCATATACAAAGACTCATGTGTATTAAAAACGTTCATTTGGGATCAAGTTTTAGTGAAGAACTCTGCCATCGATGTTAACATTGAAAATTAGCTATTTAGTAAGTTGGGAGTATTTTGATTTTTTGATTCTGGCATCCTTAATAAATGATACACATGAGATAGTTTTGTGCCAAATTCAGAAGAATATATGTGTGGGGAGGTATGGTTATGTCTTTCTTTTAGAGAGGCCTTACAAATACCTATTAAGGTGTTTTTCAGGATCCTGGGGAAGAACTGGGACTGAGAAAATGCCAAGATCTGACTTTTTGTATCCCTGTGTTCAATATTCTCGCCACATACTGTGAACGGGTTGGATGAGAACAGTTGGAGGAGGTTGAATCTCATTCTCCAGAGGTTGTGGTTTATTTAGGAGGCAAAATAAGGAATGGGGGATTATAACATGCTCATAAAAATGCAGCAGCCCAGACACAAGATGTCGTATTGGTGGAATGAAAATAGTGTTATATCTTACTTGCCTACACTCTAAAAACACATGCCTTGGAAGAATTTTGCAGTGCAGTACTAGCACGATGCAAAGAGTGGGGGGAGAGTTCCTGTGTATATGTGAGTATATAGTCTTTTTCCGAAGTTCCAGGAATTACTGAACAAAGGGAATTAAGGTATTTTGCTGTTCTACCTCTTTCATAGAAGAGGTCAAAAAAATAAAATCTTGAAGTGCTAAAACTCCTTTTATCTGCTTTACCACTCACTTCTTTGTTCTCTGCAGCAGAGGCTGCTGATGGCTACTCTTCCTTACTAGCTTTTCTTAATAGCTTTATCTCCAAGTTCTTAAGATTAGTTTGCAGGACTCCTGTAGAATAGCCATTCTGCACCTACTGGTTCAAAGAATAACCAGACACTATTATAGAGGCCATTGAAGTCTGTGCAGGCTTCAGAGAGAATTTGGAGCATGCTTTGTAGACTTCTCAAGCCTTCAAGTCACTGATCTTGAGACCTGTGTCCTTCCCATTCTTCCTCCAAGTTGCTCGCTCTCTTTATGCACTCCTTAATATCCCAAACCTCTATTTGTTTTGGGAAAAAGTAAAAATACCCTGTGTGCACCTCCAACAATAGACTACCTTTAATTTTCTACGTATTAAGCCCAGAACTAGAAGAATAATTCCTTGGGCATCCATGCTCATCTGTAGTGAAAGAGCCCCTATTCAGTTCCTGTTTACAACATGCTTGATTTGAGTGTGTCTGACAGTGAAAATTCTGGTTTATGCCAAGAGTGAAGACTAAACATCATTCATTCATTCAGTTAGGTATCTTTTCTTACATGCAATCAATCAAAATTATTTGGCATCTGCCGTCAAATAGATACACAAGTATGTTGGAATTCTACTGTTCTAGACTTGGCAGAAATAGTAATGTCAAGCACTGGTGTTGTGATAGAAAATAAATGGGTAGGCTTCACTTTGGTTTTGTGTTGCTGTGAGTCAGTGAAACATCAAGTTTACTATTTCTTGAAGCATGGAGAAAGAAGCAGAGGCAAGTGAGATTGGTTTTAACTCTGGAATTTTCATGGCAGTTTCACCTGATGTCCACTGTAGGGTTAACAGGTCTGGGACCTAAAGAAATCCCCCACAACTATTTTTCCTGTGGCTAACCCAAATGATCTCGTGGACTCTGCTGGTTGGCAGCTTACAAACAAGTGAACATAGAAGGGTGGGATTTACTTTTTTTAAATTGTTTTAATCAGATAATTTTGCAGTGAGAGCAGAGTGCAGATGGTACTGTAGTTTGCAGGTTTCCATTAAGTCAGTTGTTCTGTGGTTTCTTTCTGCCCTCCCTCCTCCTTCTTGCACAGACCTGAATGTTTCTGTCCCCGCCTTGCCAATAGTTCTGGAGGGGAAGGCTTTGGTGCATTAGTTTTCTGTTAGCGCACACGCTTATTCTAGGTCATCCCAAGACCACATGACAGTTGGATCTAAGATGGTTCAAGAATGGGATCTTTCCTTTTCTAGCAGCCCACAGCCTACTTTTAATTAGGTGAAAGTCAAATAGGTCTAGAAACTTTTCAGCCAGGTCACCAAGATGATCTTATTCCATATGCAGTGTATATATATCTGCTATAGAAAGGAGGTTATTAAAATCTGCAGGTGGCTAAGCAGGGCTGTTTCCTGTCAGATGCACAGTCTTAGAGCTGGTTAAGCCAATCATCAAGCCACATCCTCAGTCTCTTGTGGAAAAGTAGTGTGCAAGTATTCAAGCAGTATGTGCTTCCATGCTCATGATCTATGTGCTTGTACTACATCACTTTTTTGCCCTGTGTGCGCTTGGTTGGAGTAGTCATGAGCAGCTATAGGCAAACAAAACTCCCTTCTCCAGACATGTAAATAAAACCCGAGCCCCTGGTCAGGTGAGGAAGTTCCTCCCTCACTTTGGAGAGAGGAAGCGCAGAAGCTGGGTTCATGCTCTGCTGCTGTTTGGCCATTGACCTCTAACACAGACTGAGGAAGCATCACCGCCGTAGTTGAAGAATTATGCTATGCTGGTAAAACACTTTTGGTGATGACATAGGCCACACCTGCAAAGCCACGCTTTTACTTTTGTCTTGGGTTTGGTTTGGTTGGACTTTCCAACTTCTTGGTTTGTTTTTACACTTTCTGGGAAATAAGCTCTTTTTTTAGACTACAGCAAAGTCTTTTGCTACTGTAAGTATGTCAGTCATATACAGTACCTTAACTCACTGACTGTTGGCAGTAAAGTGTAGCTTGCTTCAGACACAAGGGATGGCCAAGTGACGAAAAAGCAGGGATCGTGTGGCATACACAATTGAGTTGTGGTATTATGAACAGGTATATGTTTGGATTAAGGCTAGAATTGAAACTCAAAACTACAGTTAAATGGATTGGTGGTTATAATTGACGAGGGTTTCATTTGCATGTTGTGATAAATTTCCCATTGCATTTTGAATTTTTCTTTGCTGAATACTAAAGTAAATGCTAAGAGGCAAGCCACCAGACATCTGCTTAGTTTTGTTTTCTAACACTTAAAAAAAAGGTACATGCCCTGTTGTAGGAGTTGCACTGAACTGCCTTTTTACTGAGAAGATACCTATGAAGATTTTGGGGGTAGCTATTAAACAAACTGTAAATACTTTACAGGCTAATAATAGAGACTGGTAATGTTAAACCAATTTCTACCCTAAGACTTCTTGGAAAGCATACTGTGAGTGGAAATCATTATCTTCTTCAGAGAATAGATTAGTGGCATGTAGAAAGCTGATAGGTTGTAACAAAGCATGGTTAAAATTTGTGTCATGTGTTTTTAAGTGAAATTTAGTTATACTTTTAAAAAAAATAATAATTGCCCTGCTCAAGTAATGGCCAAACACTTTAGCCTTGAGTAGAACATCTCTACTCTTAGTACAACACTTTAAAAATTCTTTTGCTTTTCAAATTACCTTATTTTCTCAGATACCCATACACATATGCCTTACTTGGACCCTTATTCTGTCCTTTCTTCTGCTAGCAAATTCTGTCCTGGTTCAAGGCTTATGACAGATTGTCAGATGCAGATTTCTACAGGTAAAATAGGAATCTTTCTGTATAGGCTCATGAAGATGTATAGAGAGTTCCTGTTAGCCTTATAGCCAGAGTGGCATCTCTTTAGCTCAGTATGATGGATGGAACTGTTTACTGTGAGGGTTTCTGCTGACAACATCTGTTCCTGTACTTTACCTAGAGCAATATTTCAATTATGTATTGCTTTTTGAACATGAGTGCAACCCCGTGCTCAAAAGTGTAAGAACAGAGAGTTTCCAAAGTGGGCTGTATTCTTCTTAGTGGAACTCCTTCAAAAACCCGTCGTTCTTAGCTCCTTTTTTACATAGCAGTAGCATTCCCTTTTACAAATAGTCTTGGAATCTTTGGTGCATACTAAATGGAAATGGGAAAAGTATATTAAGTACCTGTAAAAACAAAACGATTAGTGATTCAGTTGTGAGTGCAATAGTATGTAAGCATTCATTGCACAAGAGCGTGCTTGTAAAGAAAAGGTTGTGCCTCTTCTTCAAATACCAGTAATGAAAACAGACATGGTAAGATGTGACCGTGCAGTTAAAAGTGAGTAATACACAGTTTCTTGCAGCGCACGTACCCTTGCAGCAATGTTACCACTTTGGTTGCATTATTGAGAGATGAAATGAAGATGTGTGCCAGTTTCTGCCCTCTAAATGCAACTCAAAAATGCTTTCACTCATCCAGTACAGTGGGTGGTTTTATATGTGTTTTTAGAGGACATCTTTTCTCTGAAAATGTCACAGCACTTTGAGTAGTTAAGTTTATTTGTTTACCGTGCGCTGTCTAGATTTTTGTGCATGCGGTCTTTGAAAGTCACATGTTCCCATTTGGGGAAAACAAATTCAAGTACATACAACTCTTGGGTAGATTTGATTAGATGGTGGGGTAGGAAACTGTTACAGTGGTACAGTGTGGAGGCTGCCACTGGGATGTGCTGTGCTGCCGTGCTGGGTGTTAAAGCTGTCTATGCCAGTAAGATCCTCAAAGGGAGAACAGAAGCAAAAATTAGCCTTCCCTTGGCAATGCATTCGCCTCTTTCCTTGCTTTTTCTCAGGGGATCATTTCCTGACTCAATCCTTGCTGGTGCATAGAGTCTAGTTTTGAGTAAAGGTCCAGGAGTCATCATTGGTAGCCTTCTGTATCTGCTCCTTTTCAGTGCTGTATCGCTTGCTTTCTTGTGTCATCCTTGAGTGGCGACTTCCGTGTAACCAGCCCATGTGTTCTTAAACTAATATGTTTCAGCACTTAGCCAAGTGCTCTTAGGGCATTACTAATTCTGCACTCGTGTGTTTACAGCTTATCAGTTTCTGTATGCTTTGTTAGGCATGAACAAATACCTCCCAAGTGGAGGCTGACCATAATTAATGCACTTTTTCCTTTACCTTTCGGCCTGACAAGTCTCTGAAAACGCAGCTTGGTGTGTAATGCGGGTCCTGGCTATGCACTGCTGTGGCAGCGAGACAAACAGGAGGGAGAGCGTCTCTGCTTGCTGTAGCAGTAAAATGCTACTGAAAGAGTTTTGTGTTCTATTCTTTCTTCTTTTTCACCTGAAGAATTACTAAATGAGTAAACGTTGATAGCAGTTGGTAAATGTGTGCCAGGTACTCTCTTGTACGGCAGCTGGCTGTTCTGGAGAACTGTGAAACCCAAGTTGTGGAACGTGGATTGTAGCTGTGCTGCTCCTGTGGGTCGTGCCCTGCCCTGAAGAGTAGCTCAGATGTTACCACGCGTTGATCAGCTTGCTTTGCGACAGATTCGGGACAGGTAGAAACAGTAGCCTCTTTCAAAGCAATTGGGGGAGAGACCTGTGTGAACAAGGGATGAGTGGACATCTGGAGGCTCAGGCTGGAGGCAGAGAGGCTGGGGCCTGGGAGTGACAAGGAAGCCACCATTGCGATGCCTGGCTGTGAATTACAGCCACACACACTGTGCCCTGTCCTTCCTACTCCATGTTAGGGACAGAACAGCCTGCACGTCTGCTTCTTAGCAGCTGTGGTTCACCTTAAGATGCTTAGATATTAATTTTATGTTACTGTACTGTGCTACAAATAGGGATGGTGAAATACCAACAGAGCACTGGTTTTTCCATGCATGCCATGGGAGTGGCAGCCTCTAACAAACAGCTGGAGTGGTAATGATTTTGGCTGCTGTCATTAAGTGTTTGTGACTGGGAGGTGGCGTGTTTTGAAGAAACCAGACTCCTCAAAGCTCTCTTCTCAGAGATTAGGTGTTTTTGCCTTTTGTAAAGAAGAACTGATCGGTGGACAGTACTTTGTCCTTTCCAAGAAATAGGGGCTGGGACTAATCCTGTGTGTTATGTTAGCAGGATAAACAGACGGTGTGTGTGACATTTTGTATCATCTTTCAGCCCTTCCTGAAATGATAGTGCTGTCTGTGGGCAAAAGGGTCTCTGTTCTTTATCTATTTCCTAATTTATTTATCATGGTATATTGGAGTATCATGTATTTGTGGCAAAGTAAGGGAAGATGGTATTTCCTAGGTATTGCTGTAAGTTAGCTTTTCCTATGCCATCTAGGCAAATATAAGGAGATTATTTTAAAAGCATGAGGTTTGGGTTTTGGGTTTTTTTTAAGGGGAATGGCAGGAATCTGGCTTGTCTTTGACTGGACCACTGGTTACCCCAGTGCATGCCCTGGAGAGACATTATTCAGGGTACAAGATCAGTCTTATTTGCAGTATGTCACAATACTGTGGTAAGTAAGACTCTTCAGGTATGACTCTACACAACCTATATGGGGGGAAGGAAGTGTGTGATGCATTGCTTCAGAAGATAGTGTTTTCCATAGGAAATAGGCATTTCTGCTTGAGTTCATGTGTTTTTTGGGGGGATTGTTTTCTTTCAGGCATTCGTGGAGGCTCAGAACAAGCTTACGGTACCCTTTCTCGAGCAGTGTCCTGTCAGGGGACTGTTCAAAGAACGAATGACTGAACTCTACGATTATCCTAAGTACAGCTGCCACTTCAAGAAAGGAAAAAGGTATGTGAGAAGTGCCTTTGTTAGGTGGTGGTGAATGTGAAGTAAGTCAAAAGCAACTACTAGTTAGGAAAACAAATTATAAATTATATTTGTGTTTATTCCTTTATAGTTGGGAAGTAGGAAAAGTAAGACAATGTTAATATATATGATTGCACGATGCAGAGCACAAGATGCTTGACTGTCTCCCAATTTCCAGTCATATTATCATCTTGTGCTTTTGTTGTCTTTTCTTTTTAGAGGAAGAGCTGTGAGTTTATCAAAACTCAGACAACTTTGTAGAATAACTTGTAAAAGTAAAACTTTGAGGAGTTCCTTTCCAGGTTGGTCACTGTCAGTATAGTTAAAGGCACCTCATCCTGAAAACAGTACAAGTCTGTCATAAGAATGTTGTTCTAAATATTTACTAAAATACTATTTTTATGTTGGACATACTTTGAGCAGCTGGTAGGATTTTTGTTTAGTTCTAGCCAGTGAAAAGCAGTGGCAGTTCCCTTGTGAGAAACAGCTCCTGTGACTGCAGGGGATAGGGGAAAAATAATTTGGAGGACTTAAGGCAACTGGTGCAAAAAGATCTGTCTTCTAAGAAATAAAGGAATCCTGCTATATTCCAATATCTAGTCTGCATGTATCCCTGTTTTAATTCTGTGGCTCAGTAAAGAGATGGTGCATATGGGGCTTACCTAAGGTCTGGAGACTGCAGCTGCTACTCAGTTTTATGTGACCTCTTTCAGAAACACTAGCAATCTTCTGCAGAAAGTGAGTAAAGGGATGAAACTGCTGATTAATGTAGTGATATCTAAAGATTGTTCTAGCAGTGGAAAAAGAGGTAGTGCGAACAACCAGCCATTCTTAATCATGGGAAACACAAATAGTCTTTTTCAGTATTTTTTATTTGCTTGATCCTTGTTGAGTGAGCACCCAGATATGCCAGGTTTTCGCTGTCATCCATAGGAAAGAGCAGAAGTTGTCTCATTGCCTGAAGATTTCTGCACAGATATTGAGGGACATCTGCTACTCTTTAGTTATCTGTTCTGTGCTGTGAGGATGGTGTGGATACTTGTTACTAAAGGAGGGAAAGTCTGTACAATGTGGGGTTTTTTTAAAAGTATGTTGTGGGGAGTGAACCCAAGCTGATGTTGATTAAGTTGTTACTGATGTGGCACAGCATGTTGATGTGTAGAGGTGTGAGGTTTAAGCCCAGAAGCAGTGGACCTGTTTAGGACAGTGCTGCATCCAGAGAAATAAGCCTTGTTGAGTGAGTCAGGCAAAGCTTATTACTTTGTATGTGGTGCTCATGCAGATGTAGCTATGCTGAATCTGATTCTGGAGCAGGCCTGGTCAATGACTGCTCTGGATTCTCTGACCAACTCTCCCTGTGCAGTGCAGACAAGCCTGGCTATGATTATCTTCAGTGCTGATAAGGCTTGATGTTGCAGAAGTGCTTATGGCAGTGATGAATATAGTCTCCAGTAGAAATAAAAAGTCTTAATTTGATGCAGCTGACTGTCCTCCAGGACGAAAAATTTATGCCAGGAGCTTCATGTACTTTAATTATGACACTTAACTTTGATTTTAATGTCTTTTTAGTTTTTCTGAGTGTTACTCTATTTCTTGGCACGGGCTGAACTTAAATCACAGTGGTTTAAAAATCATACCAAAACCCTTATATTATGGCTTTTGAGGAGATCAAGAGGGTTCTGTCAAGTAGAGTAACACTTGGTAAGGGGTGGGGGAAGGAACTATTCTGTTTGAAGAACTATCTAGACTTCCTCTGATGCTTAGAAATTCTTAAATTTAATTACTCCAGTTTTCTGCTGAAGAATAGCTGCTAAAGGACAGTGTCTGAAGAGCTGTTCTGTAGAATCTGCAGAAAGGAAGAGTGCCTAGGGAGATGCTGTGCCTGTCACATTGTTTGACCTTTGCTTCCCAGCTTATTATCCAGCATTGCAGAGGTGAAATTGGCTAGAAAATGCACGGTCAAATGGAAAATTACGTATCTTTTTCTTCTCTTCCTTTGAGTCTTTTGATTTTGTCACTTGCTGAACATTATTGTTAGTTCTTGAACATATTACTAGTTCAGATTGTTAGCCAGGCCTTTGTGAGTATAGTTCCCCCTTCTGGGTTTACCAGGTTCCCATGCTTGTATCCAGGTCCTGGACGGTCTTAGGGAATGTGTGAACTTATGTTTAGGTTTGAACATTACCCCATAAATTCCCTTGTTTCCCAGGGTGAAGCTGCCATTTGATTTGTTAAGACACAGGTTTGTGTAGTAAAACTCTGAAGTCTTATGAAGGAAGAAAAGCATAGTACCTGTGAATTGCATAGAATATAGTTACTAATTTCTTTGCACTCTGTAATGTCTTGTGATGTGAAGAGTATCCCTCACTAAAGAGAATTCTGTAATTCTCTGTTCCTACAACTTTTTCAAATCACAGAGTTTTGTGGGCATTAGGAAGTACAGAGGAAACAGTTTCAGTTCTGTTTCATTTGAACATCTGTCTGCCACCTGATAGAGACTGAAAGCAGCTATATGAATGACAAAGCTTAGAACATAGGGGATGAGAACCTGTGCCAGAACTTGTACGAGAAACAGTAAGGGTGCCCAGAGCTGTCTAACATAGACAGTTAGGCAGAGTTTATAGTATACTTAGCTGTGTTTGAAACGCACTGTGGCAAATGCAGCTTTTATTTTTAAAAGGTGTTTTGGATGCATCCTACAGTCTCCTCTATACAATCTATATCACGTTGGGATGAGATTCCTCTCGTTTTTAGAGGCCTTGAAATTGGTGTCTGGGCTTCTACTGTCTTAAGGGGGAAGAAAGGCACCTACAAAGGATGATTAAATCTCTGATGGCCTCAGGGGAAGCCGTGATCCCTACTCTACTGTGAAGTTTGTGTTTCCCTTATATATTTATCTGTCTTTTATTCACTTCATGGCAATCTCATAAAAGTTATTCTTGCTTGCCTATCTGAAAAATCTGAGTTCTTCCTACTTATTTTTCCCTCTTGTGTTCTTTTAGATATTTTCACTTCTACAATACAGGACTGCAGAACCAGCGAGTTTTATATGTACAAGACTCCTTGGATGCTGATGCCAAAGTTTTCCTTGATCCTAATAAGCTTTCTGATGATGGCACTGTGGCTTTACGAGGTTAGAGTCACTACATCTTTTTTCACAACTTTGTAAGAGGTTTCCACTGAAGTATGAACAGATCTTAAGGTTGTCCATAGCAAGGAAAAAAAGTTTATCTATTTATAGTGACTAACTCTATTAAAATTTTATTTTGTATCTTTAACACAAGCCAGCAAGCTGAAGTAAGACACTGTGAAGGAACATAGCATTAACTTTTAGGAGAATCAGAAAATTACTTGTGTTTACTAGGGCTTTAACATGTGTTAGCTGTCCGTTTTCCCACTCCCTATTGGCTTATAGTAGAAGGAAGACTCTTGGACCTAGAAGTCCTTTAAGTCTGTTCAAGACCAGTTAATAAAAACAGAGGACAGAATTAGTGGATACTTCTTCAAGTGTGACCTAGCTGAAAAGAATCAATATGGCTTTTTTAGTGAAAAGTCCTGCCTTAAACTGTGGATATAAGGAATTGGGTTCATACAACCTTTATTTCTAAAAAGCTTATGACACAGTCTCTATGCAAATGCACTTAGAGAATGGAACAAGAGGGGAAACTCCTGGTGTTGATAAATAATTGATTTAAAGGTAGGGACAGGAATAACTGATTGGCTCTCAAAGTGGAAGTCACCAATAGAGTTTTGTCAGGGATTATGCTAGGACTTGCACTGCTCAGTATGTTCATACGTATTAGAAAAAGGAGCGAGCAGTGAGGTAGCAAGAGTTTGGCGACGATACAAAATTGTTCCAGGTAAAGGCTGAAGAATGACTGAAGAGTTGCAGGAAGACCTGCAGTGGCAATAGATTAACAGGTAAAAGACTGTGCAGGTAAATTAAATGATGCACAGGAGACAAACAAGCCTAACCTCATTTCTAGAGGAATGGATGGAATGGACTCTGAGCTGATCATGACCACTTGGGAACAATTCTTAGGTTGCAATAGTTCCGTGAAGATGCCAGCCTGGTTATCGGTAGCAGCCAAACCAACACATCAAATGTCAGAAATGATTAGGAAGGAAATAGAGAACAAAACAGAAAACACTATTACATTAGCAACCTAGGGGTTTATACAGTAGTGTTGAGTATTAAATATAGTTCCTGTCCCCTCAGCTCAAAGGGGGCTCTGAAATGCACTTCAGAGGAGGGCAGTAGGAAAAATCAAGGGTATGGAGCAAAGGTCGGGAACAATCAAGCGTGGCCAGATCAGTCAGCTTGGAAAAGGGACAGTAGGGATATAATAGAGGTCTACAGAATCATTTGTGGCATGCAGTAGCATGGTGAGAGCGAATAGAGGTTGGTCGGTTAGTTGACATTTTTTCTATTACAAGAATGAAGGGATGTCAAATGAAGGCAGTGGGAGTCAAGGCTAAAGCAAACAAAAAAAGGTGGGAATTCGTACCAGATGATTTGTAGAACCCCTCGCCAGTGGATGTTGGTGGTGCAAAAAACTTACTGTGGGTTTAAAGGGAAGCTGGACAAGGTCGAGAAGGGAAGCATTGAGGATTATTAACCAACTACTTCATGGAAGGCAGTCTAAGCTAAAAATGGTCAGAGATTGTAAGAATATTTGAGGGAAATACGACATGTGCTTGCAGTGTTCTTAATCTTGTAGGAATCTCCTTGTGACTACTCCTGAGGACAGCTACATGGAATCTTGTTCTGAATCAGAATGGCCACCCTTATGTTCTTAAGGGGGAGAATATGTTAGGGTGGCACAGTGGTGTGTCTCAAACCTATGATTTCTATGAAATGACACGTTTTTGTGTTGGGTTTTTTTTTCAGTAGTTCCTTTCAGGTTTTTACAGGCCTATGATAATTTAGTCTCTTCGCTTGAGTTGATTTGCAAGAGTGAATTTGATCCTTATCAACTATGATGGATGCTCTTCTGAATTTTTTTCAGAATCATGTTTTCCTCACAGTTTGAATAGAGCAACATACATATCAGAGATCTTAGCTGAGAATGCTGGTGATTAATCCATTTGCGTGCTGGTGGCAAATTTTTCCAGTTACTTCAGTTTCCATGGTTTTGCAGGGTCTAGTTTTCATTGACTTCTATACTGAAGTGGTATTTGCTTTATTTCAGGATGCGTTGCTTAGATCTCAGTTTCTATTGACTTCTTTGGTGCTGTTTCTCTCTTAAAATCTCACTTTAAGTTCTCTACCTGTGTGCATTTTCAGTCTGCACCTCTTTCCCCCAAACTCAGGGAGGTAGAAGAATTACTACTCAAATCATAATTCAGATGTTGGGCATAAGCAATGTTACTGAACATACATACTGAGTATGCATGCCTAAACTCAGATCTGTGAACTACTGGAGAAGCCCACAGGGACTGGAAAAGTACTGAGAATACCAAATGATAGCAGATGTAGTTGCTTGCACTGTCTTTTAGAAAATAAACCCTCTTCTTTCAGTGTTTGGTAACAACCGTTATTTTAACTACTTTCCCAATTTCACCTCTCTTTTGTTGGGATTTGGCTAGTGTGTAGTAAATAATAAAAATGTTTTTGAAAATATGGTTTCCTTGTGCTGGTTCTTACTTCATCTTGTTTGGTTTCAATTTCCTAGGTTATGCATTCAGTGAAGACGGTGAATACTTTGCCTATGGCCTGAGTTCTAGTGGCTCTGATTGGGTTACTATCAAGTTTATGAAAGTAGAAGGTCCTGAGGATCTTCCAGATACACTGGAGAGAGTTAAATTCAGTTGCATGGCATGGACCCATGATGGAAAAGGCATGTTCTATAACTGCTATCCAAAACAAGATGGGAAAAGTGATGGTAAGTATGGCTGTACCAATTGCATGCTATATGGAAGCAAAAAGACCTTTTCAGTGAATTGATGCAACAAATAATTAGGTCTACTAGTTTATACTGAAATAACCAGCTATGCTAGTTAATATAACTAGTTATCAGGTTATGTCTTGTATGACCAAAGCCTATACTCAGTTAGTGTGAGTATCCTCTTGTCTGCCTGTCCCTGTCTTTCTCTTAAAAGTCTGCTGCTCCTTTTCTTTTTCTCTGCAATGATTTACTTACCTTTCATACAGAGTGTTACTGGCTGGCATTTGATGTCTGGTGGCAGCTTACTTACATCTCTTCCCCTCATGCATTTGCTGGGCATGGGTGAAGTGGCTTGGGAGGTTGACCTGATAAATAGCAATCTGGGGCATAAGGTTTTTGTTATTCAAAAAGATTAATTCATCTGTGGTTCACAGTACAGCAACACAAAATGTTTATGCTAGCAAAACTCAAGGAGCAGCACACAAAGTGGAATAAATTGCTGAAGAGCAAAATTTTAGTAGCTCTTATTATAAGGCAGTGCTACTGAAAAGTTTCTTCTGGAACTGTGCTCTTTGTTAAACCTTGGAGAGAGCCGAATTTTGCCTCTGTATTTGCTTTTGCAGCCTATCATTTTGCCAGACTTGCAAGTTAGATACCCACCTTGTGTTTTTTTACTTTTAAATATGTTTGTAGTTCACAAGCTGAAATGTTGGAAAACATTGCAAGAACAAAATTTAAAAAAAAAACAAAACAAAAAAACAAACCAAGTAGCACCTCATGCAGTGCTTTAAATACTTTTGGTTTTTTCAGCAGATGGTTTGTGAAGGTTTCTAAGAATGTCAACTAGCAATAAATATCTCCTTAGTTGCCCAGGGTGAAGTAGGAGCAAAAATCTCATTAGAGAGTGTGGCAGGGTTTGTTGTTTATCTTTGCTTATTTAGTATTTCTAGAAAGCAAAGCTTGAAATGATAAATCTTCACATTTGAAGAATGTGTTATCAGCAATAAAAGGAAAGGGTAACTGAACAGGTGTGCATTGTGGTTTGAAATTTTATTTTGTTTTGGAGGCAGGCATTTATTTGGAGGGGAATGGATGTAGACTGGAATAATTTGTAGTTTTCTCTGTTGAATTACTCTTCTCTCTTATATGCAAATGGATACAGAAGTTTCTAAGGGTTTTATTTGGTTGTTGTTGGATTTCTTTGAGAACTAATTGGCTTAAATGTCTGCAATTCACCAGGCACTGAGACCTCCACTAATCTGCACCAAAAGCTGCATTATCATGTATTAGGAACTAACCAGTCAGAAGATATCCTATGTGCTGAATTTCCTGATGAACCAAAATGGATGGGTGGAGCTGAGGTATGGTAAACACCCTGAAGCTTGTCATCACTATGTTCAGTTTTTCAGATTCTAACAACTGGTCGTAGGTATGAAGTGGAAAGCATTTTGTTAAAAGAACCCTTTTTAGTGTTGTAGAGTTGACCATTGAACTAAAAATCATTAAGAATTGCTGAAAATAAGACTGTCTAGTTTGCTTTAAATCAGTCCTGTAGTGACACAATCACATACCCTTTTTCTTCATTGAGAATGTTCTGCCTGATGTACGTTCCAGGACAGAGAAGGATCATTTGATGGACAGTGTGTCACTGTTCTTGCTTCTTCTTAGTCAGTGTTGATTCCCAGCCTTCACTTTTGCGCAAAAAGCTTATTCCAATAATCAGCATGTCTGGATATTCCCTGCCATGTGTTTCTTTTGTTTGTATTTATTTTTGTGATATCTTTCCTGAAAATGAAATACCTCTATTCCACTTACTTGTAGAATGGAGACGTACAGGTTAAAATCTGTTAATACAGTGTGCGGAGTTGGAGACTTTCAGGTTTTCCTACAACAAGTTTTATCAGCACAAATATGTTGTGGAATGTGTTACTGGAGCTGGAACAAGTGACTGCTGGAATTGATTTCTTAAGCTTATTTGTTGAACTGCTACTTACTATATTGTGCAAAGTCCCAGTGAACCAAAATGACAGGTAGCTATGCTCTGTTCTTCCTTACATGAATGCTTCAAAAGACCCTAAGTTTTGTAATTAAGGCATGTTTTATTCTTCATACTAGATTTAATGGTGCTTGATTGAGTGCACTGTTCCAAGTGCTGTTAGAATCTAGTGGTGGTTATTCTGTTTATCAGGGAACTGTTGTTTTTTCCAGTGGATAAAAACCTGTTGTAATTCTTTGTACTCTCATAGCTGTTATGTTTAATCAGTACGTTTTGTTTCTATACAAGGTCTCTTTTGGTCTGACGCTTTTGATAAATATGAAATGTTTTTTACCCAGATCTGGGGTATTCAGATCCTAGAACTACTTTTCCCTGAGAATACCTCTTTCAAAAAATTTGATCATCAAACTGTGCTCGTTTTTTGACACATCAACCCATGAAAATGTTGGGGGTTTCTTTTCTGTGGGCTGCCAGAAAAGAAAAGTTCTTTCAAATAATTTGAACAGTGGGATTAAAAATGAGACTGTGAGTGAGAATGTGAAAGGCTTCCCAGTAAAGTGACCACACTCAGCTTTCTCTGTACAAATCAGACTTATCTGTAGGTTCTGTGAATAAACAGAACCTTTTCTACATGATCTCATCTATTCATGAGACATACTTTTAACAACTGACCTGAATATCAATGTAAACTTGCAAATGGGGCTTTGGAATTTTTTTTACTGTTTGAAAACCAGTCAGTTCTGTTGAGTTTAACTGGCAATAAATTGGAATTTGGAAATCATTATCCTTATTTTTCCCTAGTTCCATAAATAAATGGGCTTTCTGTTGGTGACAGATGTCTTGTAGTGATGTATCCACTGATTCACATGGGTGATGAATATTATTTTTATTGCTTTGCAGTGTCGTGAGCTAAACTACACATGTTGTGAAGGCAGATTCATTTTCCATGGGGGAGGGCTGTTGCAGTCTGATTCATTAGACTATACAGCTTTTTAGGATGGTAAAAGTTTGCAGTCTTAGATGGTATTAAATCCCGTGGAAATGCTATCTTCTGTATTAGATGTAGACGTACATTTGCCTTTTAGGTAGCAAAACCTTCTTTCAGATAATAGCACACTAACAGAGCCTTTTCTTATCTAAGTTGAAGAAGCAGGGCTGGAGCATTTCAAGATCAGGAATACAGAACCAAGTATGAGGAGGACCATGGAAGAGAATTCATAGTACAGTGCTTATAGTGAGTAGCAAAGAGTTTGCCTGGCCAGGGTGCAGAGAAGCAGCCATCCTGCACTGCCTCGCTCTTCTATTGTGAAAGAAAAGCTTGAGACAGCCTTAAATGTAAAAGTAGTATCTTTTTTTCTGATACCAAGTGTCTCGGGTAATTTTTGTCATCAATGAGAAATATAGCCCTTATATTAAATGGTTAAAAGGTCTTTGGGGTGGGAAGGAAGGACTAGTAGTAATAACTCTTGCTGTAGAATAGGAAAATAATAGAATGTAGCACAGCTACTAGTTCTGAAGCCCCTGGAATTGAAACAGCTCCATAAGTGGGGAAGTGGAGAGGGTGGTGGATAGAGAAATACCACGCCACTGTGGTTTCTTGTTTAATAAATCTATGTGGCTGCTTATGACCCGTGTTCTTGACCTCTAGGAGGCATAAACTTCCAGAAATGTTGGTAGTTAAAAAGAAATGCTGTTTTAAGGAGGAATGGTACAAGAGATCCACCTTGGTAAATAATCATGAGCTTATCTGTGAAAGTACTTTTAAAACAGCTGGTATTCTGGGGTTGTGCTGTGAGTTCCAGCTGTAAAATGCGGCGCTGTCATCCTGATACTGATGAAAAATGGCCTTTAATGGTCAGGAAAAATATATTCTGCAATTAAATAAACCCAAACAATGCATTTGCAAAATGTGGTTTCATCCTTGTGCAGTAGGTCAAAAATCTTCTTTTTGGGCCATTCAAACAAGTTTCCTGGCCAATTTTTTTGAAGTATGCATTTGAGAAAGTGGAAGACCACAAAGTAACAGGGGAAAAATTAAAATATCTTTAGTAAAAATCAAATTATGTGGCTTATTGGTGCTGTCCGCACTGTGGTTTCTTGTTTAATAAAATCTATGTGGCTGCTTATGACCGTGTTCTTGACCTCTAGGAGGCATAAACTTCCAGAAATGTTGGTAGTTAAAAAGAAATGCTGTTTTAAGGAGGAATGGTACAAGAGATCCACCTTGGTAAATAATCATGAGCTTATCTGTGAAAGTACTTTTAAAACAGCTGGTATTCTGGGGTTGTGCTGTGAGTTCCAGCTGTAAAATGCGGCGCTGTCATCCTGATACTGATGAAAAATGGCCTTTAATGGTCAGGAAAAATATATTCTGCAATTAAATAAACCCAAACAATGCATTTGCAAAATGTGGTTTCATCCTTGTGCAGTAGGTCAAAAATCTTCTTTTTGGGCCATTCAAACAAGTTTCCTGGCCAATTTTTTTGAAGTATGCATTTGAGAAAGTGGAAGACCACAAAGTAACAGGGGAAAAATTAAAATATCTTTAGTAAAAATCAAATTATGTGGCTTATTGGTGCTGTCCTGAATATTCTTACTTGGTACTAATGTGCTTCCACAGGTTTTAAAATACAGCTTTGCACAGCTCGACATTTTATGGAAGTCTGCTTTCATGCATTCCTGTCAGATTAATAAACAAATGCTTTTATTTTACAGGGCCTTGCTGGGCCAAATAGGTAGAGACATTTGAGTTCTCTTATGTTTTACACAGGCTCCAGTAAAGACAGTTAGATTATGGTGTGGGTGGTCTAGTTTCAACTACCAAACCTTTTTCTATAGTGGGAGCAGAACTTGAACTTCCATACTTGAGCAGAATTTGGAGGTCTCGAAACCATTGGGTTGAGGGAGAGAAATACCTTACTTGCAAGTAAAAAGTACCTGATAAGGAGATCCTTCAGAGACTACAAAAGTAATAATGTCACCATGATACTTTAAAAAAAAAAAAAAAAGAGTAATCTCAGGTGCACTGTAGGGAGTCAGTGTATATTTTCAGTGGAGAGAAGAAATGAGGTCATGGTTTAAGACAAAAGAGGGTTGCATAAAATTTTGTCAGCTTAATACATTTACAAGACAACATGCAAGAAAATAGATTCAGTTTTTTCTCCTCATTACACATTCAACACCAGCCCCGAGTATTCTTGATTTAAACAAAATGTGTGGTGCTAAAAATGGTGTTGGCTTAGAAGTATAGGTGCATTTCCAACTCCCCCCTTGAATGGATCACTTGTGAGGAAAAAAAAATTCGTTTATTTTTAGTCAGATATATAAGTTCTGAAAAAAAGGCTATCAAATCTTTGCATTAGTCTAGAAAAAGCGTATGCATTTCTGGTACAGATTCTAGGATGGTGGGAGAGTTGGGAATGGGGTTTATTTGAGTAACATCCCAGTAGAGGGCAGTCTGGTATGAAGATTTTTTTAAAACCTTGGCAATGTCATAGCTACTCTGAAAACAGGAGCTTCGCCTGCTTCCCTGTTTAAGTGGCATGTTCTTGCTTCCTCTCCAGATTCATAGAGCACATCTCTCTTTCACAGCCAGACTGTTATTCTCAAAATTAAACAGTAAGTTCTGTAAGAGCCTTTCACAGCTGGTAGTGTTAAAAGTCCCTATGGTACTGGCAGGAAAGTAAACCGGAGAGAAAGGAGGGGGTGAGTGGAACCTTCCCATCCCAATTCTGCCAGCAGTAATACAAGTACAGTTTTTCATGTCGTTGTCTACCAACCACAGTGCACAGTCCCTGAATTGACTATATATATATATATTTTTTTTTTTTTAATGTTTAGAGTTGTGAGTTGACATCAGTGGTTCTCAACCAGGGAGGTGATCTTGTCAATGAAATTCAGAGCACTGGGGAGTAGGCTGTGCCAGACGTGTGCTGGCTGTGGTGTGTTTTCACTGCAGGAACGTGGAAGTGTAGTATCCACAGAGGAGGAGTGAGCAGCATGGAGGGGACGGGCTCAAAACATTTGTCAGTTTGCTCAAGTGAGGCTCGCTGCTGGACTAAACAGGGCTGTGGGAATTTTTCTAAAGCCTTATGCTATCTTTGTCAATGCTGAATCTGGAATAGAAGCCTGCTATGAATATCTTGTTTTCAGCCCTGGCAATAGGTCTGGAGAATTTTACCATTAAGAAACAGGCAGGCAATCTTTCTGGATGCATATGGGGCTATGTTAGATAGTAATCTCTTACATAGCCAAGTTCCTGATGCTTTGGTGCTTTCATTGTACTCAAAAGCAAGCTGAAAACCACAGGAAAAATCACGTGATGTTGGTCTGTCACCTCACAAAGCTACTGATTCTACTGTGTAC